CAGAATCATCCAAATGACTTCCTGGGATGAGCATCCTTCATGTCCATGGCTAACACACACACAGAGCTAGAGCAGGGGTTTGCAAAATCTCCCCACAAAATAAATGGCAGTTAGAGGTATAAATCACTAAAAAGAGGATATGACAGTCTGCAGACTCTGCAGTTATGTCAACACAACCCCAAGAGCGTCCACATACTTACTTCTGCAAACCTCCCTAAACTTCTATAGAGGGGCTTCTACACCCAAATGCTAGGAGCCCCACACTGCGTCAGGCCATAGGTCTATGCTAAACCCTAAGGGAGGGAGAAGACAGCAGCAGCTTGGAATGTTTCTTCCTCTAATCAGCCTGTACTTCCATCTGCCTCACTGACAGAACAAGGACTTGTACGTAGGTCGGGACAAACTGAAGTTTTATATACAACCCAAGCCCCTAATATATTCCAAACCAGTACAGCTGCTGCTTAAAGGCAAAGGGGGGAGTGTGTTGGAAGCTTGGTGGGTAAGAAAACACACTTTTATCTGAGTTATGCTAGGGTTACAGCCACATCGTTGTGACACACCCATCATCAAGTGAAAATATCCTTAGTATGAAGTGTATTTATACACCTACACTACTGAACATCATAGCTCAGCCTTTTGGATCACCTAAAGTGAAGAAATTTTAGGTGAATAAAATCACCTAAAACAAAGACTATTTTATAATAAAGTATTCAATACAAATCAATGAAAACCATACAAAACAAACAGTACAACTCTATGGGTTCCACCACCATAAATATACACACTTGAAAGCACACTGGACTTTCTACTGAATATATGTCACTTTTGCATTGCCATGAAGTCAGAAATCCTAAGTCGAGCCATTGTTAAATAGGGCATTGTCTATAGGGGGTAGCTGCTTATCTCTAAGCTATATATTACACTCTCTTAAGCAACTTTTTTGATTTGGTGGATAAAATTCTCAAGACTTAGAGTGACTACTTAAGTAAAATAATTACCCACGAAAGTGAGAAAAAGGTACCAGGGAGACTCAAAATTTGTAATCTTACAAATTACATTGACTAAAACCAATGTATTGACTTACCTGTAAAATATCTGTCTTGTCTTCAAATAGATTGACACAATATTTATAGTCAGCATATGCCCAGAATTTGGAGTGATCATAATCTCTAAGTGGTCCAGAAATACTAGACTGCTCACAGTTCCAGGTCAGAAACTCTTCAAGTGTTGCTTCTACATAACTACATGCAGTTTCAAACTGAGGAACTGCAATGTAAGAGAACCCAACTGTAAATGTATATTGAATACAATTTCCAAATACTAGTTTTTAAATGAAGATAATTTCAATTAAAAAATGTTAACTATCATTAAACATAAAAAATTAATTCTGTATTTGTTTATAAGTAGAGCCCTTTGCAACACTCACAATCCTCATGATTAAACATAAAAGCAAAAAACACGGTTTAACCTTAAGATCAAAGACTTACCTTGGTATAGCCTGACTTAGTGAGCCAGTGGAATACTTTAGATTATCAATCTCTAAAACCTTGTCAGGGGTCTGTGAGTTTTAAGCAATTTCCTCAATATTACTATGACATTATTTGCTGCTTTTACTCTCATTCTCTTAAAAAATGGGAGTTTTACATGGAGCTTCCATATGACCTAGCAATCCCACTCCTAGGTATCTACCCAAAAGACACAAAAACACTGATTCAAAAAGATACCTGCACCCCCATATTTATTGCTGCCTTATTTACAATTGGAAAGACATGGAAACAGCCCAAATGCCCAAAAGCAGATGACTGGATTAAAAAGATGTGGTACATATACACAATGGAATATTACTCAGCAATCAAAAAATAAACACATGTCTTTTGCAGCAAAATAGATGGAGCTGGAAAAGATGATGCTTAGTGAAATAAGCCAGAAAGAAAAGGAAAAATACCTGATGGTTCACTCATAGCAGGAGTATAACGGACCAGGTGAGAAAATAATAATGATGAACAGCTATATACCAGAGACATTTTATAGGGCTGGAGTGGTGTGGGGAATAGGATCAAAAACAGTGGGGGTAAGGAAATACACTGAACTATGGTGATGGCACAAGAGTAATTTGGTGATGGGAAGCCCACGGGGATTACAACTGAGATGAAAAAAATGCACAAAATGATGTAAAAATAAACTACTATATTATTTTTTAAAAATGGGAGTTTTAAAAAGACTACATGTTATATACAGCTATCAATGCTGACAGCCATGAGAATGTGTGCTCATGTTCTTCTATTTAAAAATTTCTTAATTTTCGGCCCTCCCTGGTGGCGCAGCGGGTTAAAGCACAGCACTGAGAATCTGAAGCCACTTCCGCATGAGTTCGATTCCCGCCTGCCGCCTGCCCCGGAGGAGACCACATGGCGAGCCAGACCTCTCCTGACCCGCCCGCTGCTCCCCTCAGCAGTGTACTTCGTCAATCTGCCTGTTCTGCTCCCCACTCTGTCTCTGGTGAAGCCTCTCACCGCCCCTGAGCCTCTGGCCTGTACCCCAGTTCTGTATGAATAAATAAATAAATCTTTAAAAAAAAAATTTCTTAATTTTCATTTTCTAATATAGTAAATATCATTAGCTCTAATACAATTAAAAAATTTCACTGGGGTACTAAATTTTTAAGTGTGCATGGGTCCTGAGACCACAGAATTTCAGCACTACTGCTATAAATTAAAAACAAACAAAAAATCAAAAACTGTCATTTGAAAACTTGTAAACTTAATAATACATCTAACAACATGCAGCTCCTCATTATCATTAAGTGGACAACAGTTAAAGTCATTAACTAAGTTCCTAATTTGCAACTAGAACTGTACTCAGCTTTGTGAGAACACAAAATAGACCATACTCTTGAATTGAGAACATAGTTGAACAAGGAAAATTTTACCCAGAATAATAGAGAATTTGAGATCTCATACAATTAAATGAAAAATTCTGTGCTATAGACACATAGGAAAATGTGTCTATACCACAAAGGATGAGAGTTGACAGGAAAGTTTGCAGAGACATCTACTATCTATCCACACTGATTTGTTACTTATGGTAGTGACTCATTTATACAAAACTACTCTAAATATGGTAAAGTAAACATTTTTTACAAAGAACAGAATATTTTAAACACAAATAGGGAAATTAACATTCAAGAAGTCTGGTTATGATGTGCTTTGCAAAACACCGAGTCCTTTGAAGAGGGAGTGTAGATCTAACAGTGTCAATCACTCAACACAATGCCTGACAAACAGCAATGCTCAGTAAAAGTTATTCTCATATGAGTACTGCTTAAGATTTATTTATTTACTTGGGATCAGTTAGCTGAATTAGTATTAGGAGAAGGATAATCAAACTCTTTTTTTTTTCAACAGCTTTTATCTTTTCCCTCCATTTCTGCCTAAAACTTTTAGCATGACCTTTTCCTCTTTCACTAAAACCTCAGCATGGGAGGTAGTCATAGAGGGAAAGTGTGTGTCAAAGAACCATCTATTCTATCAACTTGACACCTGACTTTGAGAAGTAAGAAAACTTTACATTTACCTGAGATATAAAAACCTGCATACTTAAGAATTATTTAAATTTGCTTATTTTTGAGAAGCACTTAGAACAGTACATGACACACAGTAACCTACCAATATATGTAAGCCCTTAATGCTATCATCATCATCATCATCATCAAGAATTTACCACAACAGCACATGAATACATGGAGTTTTTATTTGATTTTATTTTTTAAAGAGTTATTTATTTATGCACATAAGAACTGGGGTACAGGCCTGAGGTGCGGCGAGTGAGAGGACTCTCCAATGACAGAGTGGGGAGCAGAACTGGCAGATCTACTGAAATATATTGCTGAGGAGAGTAGCCAGTGAGTCAGAATAGGTCAATACATGGAGTTTTTAATAAATAAAAACCATTTGGTGAGGAAAAGTCTGGTGGTAGGAAAAAGGACTTGCTTTTAAATCCCCTCAATAAGTCTATAAATATTACAGTGTCTTAGGAGTTTCCACCTCACAGAACACAAGACAATCGATTCACCTAAATACTAAAACCATTACTTGAGCCACTTGCCCTGTCGTGGAATGAGTTTAGTTCATTTAACTTTTCAAATAAGGCCGGTTTTCAAAGGCATCTGTACCTTTGCACCTTTGCACATGTGCAAATTCCATACTTTAGAAAATGAAAATCTGAAAATGCAAAATTACATGTGAGAACTGTTACTATGGGGGGAAATTATAATGAATAGAATAAATGGAAATGAAGTTAGAATCTTTTTATTCCTTTCTGGTAGTAGCACAGAAACTGTCTTTACTTTGTTATCATATCTTTCAGGGTGGTAGAGTTGTTTTTCTTGTTTTATTTTATGAAATGGAATTACCCTTTCTGACTTCATTACTGTTTTCTTTCAATTAATGCTAAAGCAGGTGAGGCATTTGCAACTTTCCTCATCCCACTTACCATCAAAGAGCTAAGGATTTAGAAATCATGTATAAATTGAACTTACTTTTATAAGAGAAAGGCCTAAAATATTTCTTGTACAGCAGAAAAACAAATATTTTTCTTCATTTTGTTATCATTTTACAAGCAAGAAACACTGCATATAATGTAGGACCTTTGATCACCACTGCATTCACTACCTACAAATATTAGGGTGGCTTCTACAACTACTTTGCCAAATTACTGTCAGTTGACTACAGTAGTGTCACTGAATTTGGTGATCCAAAATTATTTCAGGGCCTTGTGAGTTCATTATCTGCCTCCTAAAATAAATTAAGATATATAACATGTAAACATGCTAATTATTAATATTGTTTCACGTATTCTAGAAAAATTTCAACCAAAACCTAAAACAGAAATAAGAAATATATTCAATAGAAAGGAAATAAAATTATCATTCTTGTAAGGTCATATATATGTCTTCCTAGAAAACCCATAAGAATAAACTAATAACTACTTTATTGATGCTGGATAAAATATAAACATAAAAAACTTTTACTTATGTATCCATCAAAATCAGTTAGAAAAATATAGTACCACCAAAATATTTTCTCACAATAGCTATAAAAACTTACAGTATTTAAAAAACTTTGAAAGTGCCAAATTTTATTATTGAGACACAAAAATAAATGTGAAAAGTGAAGACAATATGCTTTCAGGTAGGAGGAAACCATATTATCATAAAGTGGAGTCTTTCCAAGTTAATTTACAGTACTTAATAACTTTTCATTTAAAATTTCAACAGGATTTATTTAATTAAGTACTTTGTTTTAATCTAAACCTCATTTAAAAGAACAAGGGTCAATAACATTCAAGAAAATACTGAGAAAAAAAGTAATTACGGTGGATGAGTTTTCCTTTCTAATGTTAAAATATGTATCATTTGTTAAAATAACCTCTAAAAATGTTTTACTCATCCCAAAGCTGATAGTGCAATATCTGGCTCAGAAAACAACCTTGGAATATATAATAATGATGGGGGGAGGAGGGAGAAGGATCATTCAGTAAGCAGTACTGAAATAAAAGGTGTTGGTTCAAATTTAACTATCTGGGGGAAAATTCAGTGATTATCTCATACCAAGATAAATATAAAATGGACAAAGAGTAAAAGATAAAAAAAATCATTATGCTATTAGAAGAAAGCACTAGAATATTATGTTTACAGGATATAAGAGAAATTTCTAAATAAATAAAATAAACAAGAACAAGAATTTAATAAAACACTACTAGAGTTTTATAAAACTTTACCATACTCTGGTATTTTTACAGACTCTACCCTCACCTCTATACCAAAAGGAAACTCCGATAAGAAATAGTTAAAGAACAATTAACAGAAAAACATACAAATTACTGAGCTCACCTTGGTGGCACAATGGCTTAAAGCACCACATTATGAAGCTCTTGGAACCCACTGTAGCATGAGTTTGATTCCCTGCCAAAGAGCTGACCCACATGGCGTGGCAGACCTCTTCTGAACCACCCACTGCTCCCCTCAGCAGTGTATTTCAGTAGACCTGTCTGTTCTGCTCCCCATTCTGTCTCTGGTGAATACCCTCACCCACCACACCTCTGGCCAGTACCCCAGTTCTATAAGCATAAATAAATAAATCTTTTTAAAAAAATTTAAAAATATACAAATTACTAAAAACATGAACAAACATTCAATATTGCCAGCATTCAAAGAAATGTTAATTAAAATAATGAGATAGGCCCTCCTTGGTGGCGCAGTGGGTTAA